CGTCACAAATGGGTCAGAGTGATTAGTGTTAAATAAAGGCACAATGTTGAAAGGGGATTCAAATAATGGAGTGGATTGATTTTAAGAAAATGAAGCATTAGTGTGGACTGGAAAGAAATGAGTGTTTTGTTGCAAATTATAAGCATGATTGTGTCAAACCCTAATCTGGTCGTATAAGTTGATGATGATAGTATTAAATCATATAATAATTCGACTTCTGTTATCAATGCATGTAATGAAGGAAAATGAATTTTAAAGCTGGGTCATCTTGTGGGAAGGAGCTGTTCTGTTATTTTCATGTGGGAGGAAAATTTGTGACAAATGGTGAAGGTGAAGTGAGATATAATGGAGGTAGCGTGAGGTTAAGAAGCATTAAGGATGGGCTGACACTGGAAGAATTGAGGCTCATGATATGGGAGTGGATTAGTAGTGATGGAAGAAATTATGACATTAAGTACACAATGGCCTTTGATGAGAAGACATTGATTGACCTTTATGACAATGCTGAAATGGATAACCTTGTTGAATACAATGAGAATAGTGGTCATGTGTATGTGGCCGAAAAAGGATATGGGAATCACCAACCAAAGGACAATACAGAAATGTAAGTAGAAGTTTGTCCTAACTATTTGTTGTCATTTATGAATTTCATCTTGTTATTTGTGTTAACGAGTCTTTTCATTGTGAATGCAGAACAAAAAGAGTCATGGACATGTCACAGCAAATGGAACTGGATGCGTCTCCCATTAGTTTGTGTTATGATTATGGCTGGCTCAATGAAGAAAATGCTGGTGAATGTGACAATGACGGAGGAAGTGGGGCCCCTAATGTGGATACATCCATCGGAGCTAAAGATATGGATGGTAGTGAGATGGTTCATATGAAATGGAGGGGACTTTTTACAGGGGTGGGTCAACGTTTTCCTAGTGCAGAAGTATTTTGGGTGTCTACATACAAGTTTACACTTGCACACAAGTTTGTGCAAGGAATTCATGTTAGTGAGATGTAAAGTTGAGGGTTGTCCATAGAAGTTATGTGCAAATCATATAGGGAAGAGTTGGGACATGCTACGAGTGACGACATTTATAAACTGGCATGTTCATTCTGCCTAAGATAGTTTGAACGTGATGCATAGTGGAAGAGCTAGTTTGAACTCATCAATAATAATTGATGAGATAAGGAATCATGCATACAAGTGCACTTCTGAGATAAGGAAGAAGTTGAAACGAGATGAGATTGATCTAACATATAAACAGGCTTATAGAGCAAAAGAGAAGTCATTGGAAGACATATATGGTAGGCTTGAACAATCAAACATGCTCATACCATGGATATGCGAAAGGCTAAAGGAAACAGATGAAAAAATATGGCTGAATGGACTGCTATTGGGAACCGGTTTAAGCGTGTTTTCATCGCCTACGGGTCATGCATTGAGGGTTTCTTGGGTGGTGTAAGGCATATTCTGCATGTTGATAAAACTCATTTAAACGGACCATATAAGGGGACAATGTGACAGCTTCAGCTTATGATGCAGATAACGAGCTGTTGCCGTTTGCAATTGCAATTGTCAAGGGAGAAACACTAGATGACTGGATGTGGTTTTTCTATATGATAAAAAAAATCCTGGATTCTCTGGAAGTAACGATTGTATCAGATCGACACAATGCTATTACCGGAGGAGTGTCATCAATCTTTGGGGGTCAACGGCATGCTTTTTGTTATAGGCACATCGAGGATAATTTTAGTTTAGAAGTTATGAAAATGAATAAGGGGCAAACAAGGGCAAATGACCGATCAAAGGAGGATGCACTACATTTATTGGATAAAATCGCATATGCAAGGACGAATGAGAAATTTGAGGCAGCAATGGATGACATGAGAGCTTTTTCTCCAAGGTTATTTGATTGACTTATTAGTCATGGGGATATAGATAGGTGGGCTAAAAGTAGGTTCCCATGTAAAAGATGAGACAATATCACAAGTAATATAGCAAAATCATTCAATGTATGGATGGTCAATGGGAGAAAACATACTGTACCCCAATTGATCCATGAGCACTGAGAGAAAGTTTCAAGAAAGCTGCATGCCTCTTATGTGGCTATGACCAAATGGAAGAATTGTGTTGGTCCAAATATAGACAGTAAGGTGATGGATATGGTGGCTGGGTCTGAGCATATATATGCTGAAAATTATTGTAGGGGAAGAGTAAAGGTGACAACATCACGTGGAGATCATTAGGTTGATCTTGGACTACACCAATGCAGTTGCAAATCTTGGCAAATGATGGGGATTCCTTGCTGCCATGCTTGTGCTGCCCTTAAGGTTGTGCACGACAATGTTTATGATTATGTTGATAATTGCTATAAAAAGTCATCACAAGAAAAGATTTATGCTCGCAGTATGATTCCTGTGGTGACAACAGACATGCCTCACCCAAATGATTACTATAGGATAGAAAATGTCAGTGAGCAAATTTTCTTGCTACCTCCCATTACATCTCGACCACCGGGAAGGCCAAAAGTAAACAGGGATGAATTACAGTTCCAGAACAAACGGATATACCTCTGTGGAAGATGCCACCAACCTGAATACACAAGGAGAAATTGCAGAAATCCTAACCCATCATGAAGTTTCGATTATAGTGGGGATGTGTCATTTTTTGGTGTACATAGTTGTATGCTCCACCCTTGTCAACTTTTTTGGGACTGGGGTTGTAGTTAGGAGTTACGTGGAGATATTTTTTTTATAAGTAAGGTGATAGAAATGTCAGTGACAAGGGAGCATTAAGTGTGGCCAGCATCTTAATGTGCACTTGTCATTGAATACATGAAAGGAAGTTACTGTTATGGAGATGTTATCTTTTGTTAATGACGAATTAGTTATTGTCATTTTCAAATTTGTTCTGGTCATTGGCAAGGATGTAATCAGCATAAGCTGACATTTTATATTAAACTGATGTTGTGTATGAATATCAGGTTATGCTTGTTATTTTTGTTTTCATATTCGAATCACCTGTTGTCATTTTCAAATTTGTTCTGGTCATTGGCAAAGATGTAATCAGCATGAGCTGACAGTTTATGTTAAACTGATGTTGTGTATGAATATCAGGTTATGCTTGTCATTTTCGTTGTTATATTCAGATTACTTGTTGTCATTTTCGGTTGGATACCAACAGGACATATTGAAGTCAAATTGAGTGACTTGAACAAGAAATGGAAACCAATAACACATATCCAATAGGCCTGATGTCATCATCTGTTTTGGTGTGGTTAAACTCAGATTCATTAATGTCACTGGGGAATAAATTGGCCCCACGCATCTCAACATTCATAAATTTATGGACACCAATCTCTGTGAAGCATGAGAATATGTTAATTTTGGGTCATCCTACAATGCACATTAAATACAGTAATCTAACAGAGGACAAGTGAATTATGAGCCTAACATCGAGACACCTAGGATATATGCCTTCTCTTGGACATTTTGCTTTTGGTTGGCTGCGGTTTTCGAATAAGAGCCAATGCCTCGTCATGTTTTTCATTTATTTCATGATTCACCAACCACTATATCAGATCACGACAAAAGCCAGCAACTTCTTTCTTTGTGTAGGTAAGGGTTATACCAGGTTCCCATCTTTTTAGCCACATCATGCAGTGCACCCCACAATCCCTCATGTGGACACAACAATATCAACACAGTTAGTTAAGACCTCTGACATGTTCATTTACCACACAAAATTCAAATTTGACAAGACTGATAAGTTATTCTGCTGGGGAACTTTTGCATATATCATTGGAGACATTGGCTTTTTCCCAACCAGCCCTGGCTTGACCATGTCCAATATAATATTGAACCTATTCCTCTGCAAAAAGATTCGAGTGTGGTTCCCCATGTTTCAGGACCAACATAGAAAGTTGAATGTTTTTACATGTTCAAAAACTAGGGTAAACACAATGAGTTTTTTTTCTTACACATTCATCCACAGCCATTTCAAGTAGGTCTTTGATGACAACCTTCTTCTTCTTCTTTCTCTCCTTAGTTCCGAATCAATCACTCATAGAGTCTAATATGTGAAAATATAATGTGCTCGGCTGAATGGCAACGCAAAACCAGTGTTGGCCAACAAGAACATGACCAATTATGAAAACACATTCAGCCAAATTGTAGCCAACGAACTCAGGAAGAAAGAGCTTTTTATATTTTTGGGCTTTCCAGGTTGGGTCATGTACCATCATATTTTGCATGACATGAAATTGTTAATCCATTAACAGAGAACAAGTCATTTCCAGTTCCATTGCTATCATTGGTATTTGCATTTGGAATTAAGCAACCTCACCATGAAATCCGCATCGAAGATGTGCCTCTTCCCTGGCCCCAACTCTGCCTTTATGTCCTCCATCACTGCCTTGCACACTAAATTAAGCACCTACAAAGGACAAGTAAAAACGTCATTCTGACACAATATTCTCACCAAACATTATCAAACATAAGCATGGGTGTAGAGACAGAGCGTTCTAAAATATCCTGTTATTTACTCTGTTTACTCCACCTAGGGAGAACAGCTATTGTTAGTCTATATCTTCATCAAACATTTTGGTCACAATCCTGTTAAAATTATCAGATGTCAGTGACAAAGTATGGTGTTGGGGACATCATCACTTGTCATCCCCATATAGTTTATTGTCATTATCAATTCTATTGCTATCATTGTCAGTACACACCGTGTCATTTAAAATCAAAGGCTAACCAGGGATATACTTACATCTTCCCCTCTTTCTTTGCCTTGGGTCTACGGGATATGAAAGTGAAAAAAATATCCCTTTCCTCCTTTGGCTTCTTTGTCCTCGGAGCTGCCTTGAACTTCATCCACGGAGATTTAATTATGGAACTCTTTGCCCTTGTTGACCTCCTTAGCTGAGTGGATTTTGCATGTGTGTCTTCCTCAGCCTCATCATCTAAATCCTCAACCTCCTTATCATCATCTTCCACCTCTTCAACCACTAATCATGACTGAATTCCATGTCATCATGGTCATCTTCCTCCCTCTCAACCACATGACCTCCTTCCTTGTCATCATGGTCATCTTCCTCATCATCGTCATCATCACCTCCACGACCATCACGGTCACCCTCATCTTCTACCTCCTCAACTGTATAATCATGACCTCCTTTCCTGTCATGAAGGTCATCTTCTTCTTCATCCTCATCATTCTCATTATCTCCTTTGCTGGTTTCATCCTTATCAAGTTCCTCATCTCTGCTTCCCGCTACAACCTCTTTTGTAATCTCTTCCACTACTCAGTCAACGTCTTCAGCTTCTTCAGCAACGTTACCACCTGCATCACCAACTGTTTCACCCCCTTCTTTAACAGTGGCCTTCTCATTCCCCACCCCTTTCACTTTGGCATTCAATCCAATCTGTACTTTCATTAGCTCATCATCAAGAGCCTTTATTACGTCTTTTGGCTTTCTTCAAGCTTCTTAATGAAACGAGCCCTCAACTCCTTTAAAGCCTACATACACAGTAAATGAAGATATCAAAAAAATTCATCACTGTTATCCAATCCCAGTATCTCACTGGTCATTTGCAAATAAAGTCTTGTCATCTCAAGTATCAACCCTACTAATAGACTTACTTAGGCTCAGTTCAGGTAAATTTTCTAAATTCCCACATACCGAATCTAAATACTGCAGAATTGGACTATCATCATGTCTTGCTGAGTAAACCTCATCGCCACTGCTTCCATGCAATATTTCCATGCTGCTACCTCTCTCTTTCTCCACCCTCTCCTTTATCTTATCCTCAGTCCAATATTCAATGGGGCTTGTTGAACCCCAGTCAACAGACAATCCCAGCAGGAAACGCTCAGCAAAATGCAGCTGCAAAACCAAATAAATACAGGTCACACTTCTACAACAATAACATAAAACAAAATTATAGTGACTGGTAAAAATATTGACTTACCAGCAACAAATAAAGACACCCTCTAACATTATATGTTCCTTTCTTCTTCTTCTTCTTTGTCATCTTCACAAAGTCTCCCATTTCCTTTCATAGATTCTCAATTATGTATGTTGACCAATCATATTTCCCAAACCCATCCATTGTGCGACACATCACTTTTAACAAACTTAAATGTATAGTTGTGCTTGACCCAAGACATAAAAAAGCTCCAACTGTATAAAGCATAAATAGAAACTAAAAATTGTCATTTTCTGTCCCAGATAATATCCTCTTCAGTATTTGGGTAAATGGAACCTTCTAATATGTCTTCTTTAACCTCTTATATGTCAGGTCATCTTTACCAACATCAGATTTCACTTCCTCCCCACTGTCAGGTACACCTAAAAACTCATGAGCATCTTTTGCTTCAATTGCCTGCCCTTGCCCCCTAATGGTAAAAAAATACGTTGGTGGGCCATAGCATCTCAACAATGACACAAGTAGATCACGTGGAAGATGCTTCACATTCATATTAAGCAAGTTCCCAAATCCCATCCTCTCAACTTTCTGTCTTAATCGCCTGTTCTTCTTCACATACTCAGCCAATGATAAAAATCCGGGCAATGAGCATCAGGTGTACAAGGGAACATTATACTTCTTCTTCTCACCTTTTTCTAGCTTTGTTTTCTTTGCCCTCTCATTATACCTATGTTTCTCTTCGTCACTTAGCGCCATCCATGCCTTCCCAACTTCAATTTTTTCTTCTCTTCTATTTTTACACTTCTCCCCTCGTTTTGCCATATACTCCCTTCTGAACAACACAAGCCCACTGTGTACTCCTTTGCTTGTGAACCCTTCCCCTTCTTCCAACACCATCTCGTATAGTTCTGCAAAGTCATCAAGGTACTATCATTAAGTCATAATTGTTATACATATACTAAATATCGAGTTCTTTTCAGATTCGTTATGGTCATTTCCAGTTCCTTCATTGTCATTTACAATATGGCCATTACAGACTGACAATAAGAATGCTACTATGAATATAGTCGTTTCCAGTTAATTTATTGTCATTACCAATATGCCCATTACAAACTGACAGTAAGGTCATTACTATAAATATGGTCGTTTCAAATTAATTCATTGTCATTACCAACATTGCCATTACAATCTGACAGTAAGGTCATTACTATGAATATAGTCATTTCAAGTTCCTCCATAGTCATTTACTAGTATGTTATTGTCATTTTCAGTTTGCTCATATAATCTTTCCAGTCAATCAGATAGTAAGGTCATTACTATGAATATAGTCATTTTAGGTTCCTTCATAGTCATTTACCAGTATGTTATTGTCATTTCCAGTTCGTTCATACAATCTTTCCAATCAATCAGACAATTTTCCTAGTGATTTGAAAACCCATTTTCCCCTAACGTCACAGTTCTCAACTTCGTTATAAAAAACAAATAGCTGGCCACAGAGACTCAGCATAAACCCTTAATCGCCATTCCTGTCATTCACAAGCTTCATCACGTCATATCTAAATATTGCCTAATCATTACTTCCCAGACTCACCCAAAAACATCGACGATAGCACGAAACTTAAATGCTTAAACTTACCTCAGTGAAATTCGCTGATGCTTGTTAACTGCAGTGGTGAATCACCGCGCGCCAACTTTTTTCCTTGCACACAATCAGTTAGACGCGACCACGTTCGCCCTTTAAACAGCACACCCTTCCACTTCGAACTCCTCTGCTCTCTTACGTACACACTATTTCGGGGTCGTCAACTATTCAACTTGCTGGCGTTTTTACGGTAGCAACGAGGATGGTGGAAGCGAGAAACCGAGAAGCACGAGTGGGCAGTGCTCTCTGCTTTCAAACTTTGACTAACAGAAGGGCTTTTTGGTAATTGTCCAACATTTGCATAATCCCAAATCAGGCAACACTTCCCTATCTGGTAATACATTTGCTTAGCTTCCCATTTTGGTATGTCCCATTTTGAGGCTTCTTTATGTGTCATTTTCCCAAAAAACTAAAGAGTACATATTTAAGTATTTATCATTTGATTCAACTCCTAAAAAACAATAATGCAATATTCCACGGGCTAAAACCTAGTTTATACCTAGAAAAAATTTACATCAAGTTTTTTATATTTATTATGTTAAGTTCTCTAATCATATATGACTATATGTTTCTTTTTATTTCATGTGAATTTATAATTAAATGCTATTAAATGTTAATATTTTAAAAAATAGAATACATAGTTGTGTGACTGGAAAAATAATGGATGTAAGAAACTTGATACAAGTATTGTCTTTTATATATAATACTACCTCCAACCCTAATTATAAGAACTAGTTGATTAATTTAAGAAAATTAAGGAAAGAAGTTAAGTTAGTTATTTGTAATAAATATATATTGTCTTTATCAAAATATCCTTACTAATGAAGTGTATTGGTTAGAACTATCATTGTTAAAATGATTATCTTGAAAAAAAATATATAAATATGAGATTTATGTCTTATACTCTCTCACATTCAAAATATAATAATGAAATTTTTAAAAGAGCTTTTTTCCCCCTATAAGATACAATTTGGAATTTGGATTCAATTAATCATTTAATCATTTGATGCATTTTTTCTAATTAATTATGTCTTTCTTGTCCGTTCTCATATCTTTTTTCACTTATTCTCTTTTCTACTCACCCTCTCTGTAAATAAATAAGGATGTTTTATGAAAATAAGTTGCATTTTTTTTCACATATTTATCATCTTTACTTTAATCAATTTTATCAAACTTTTTGAGTTGTGCAATTTAGTTATTTGGTGCTTATATTTTGAAACGAAGAAAGTATTTAGGGTCAAGTTTAATCTTCAAACTAGTTCTTATATTAAAAATAGAAAGTAATGTTGAAAAAGGGGGAATCAGAAAGTAACATTGAAAAAGGGAGAATCTCACAAAAATAAACTTAAAATTACAAAATCTTCCCAATACTTTAATACGTTTTGACAATATAAAACTTACCAATAACAACATACTCCTCCGGTCCTTATTATAAGACCCAATTTGACTTTTTATTTGGTCCTAATTATAAGACCCAACCCATTTTGTCTCTTATATTTGTGCATTTTTTCCAAGATAATCCTTCTAATAATGATAGTTTTAGCCAATATACTTAATTAGCAAGGATATTTTAGGAATAACAACACTTATTTATTATAAATAATTAACTTAATTTACTTCCTTAATCTCTTCAAATAAGTCAATTGGGTCTTATAATTAGGACCGGAGGAGTATTTTGTAAAATTTTCTCGAAAGCTTAGCCTGCCAGTCCCCCTCTCTCCTCATTTTATCCGCGGAGGGATCATGGGTATGCTGTCTTTTCCGAGAGAGCATTAGGGGTCTCTCCTTATATATGGTTAGCTTTCATTTTCCACGCAAGGCTTTGTCCCGAATTATTTATTTATTTATTTATTTTTACCAGGGTCCCGAATTTTTAATTGAAAAGCAGACGGAAGCGAAGCTGAACAGTGAACAGTGAACAGTGAACAGTGCTTACTGCTCACCGTTCAGCTCCCAAGTATGAACATTCGCATGATTCTATCGGCTGCCATCGTCCTCGTCTTGGCCATTTCCTATCTTCCTCTTCTTGACCGTAAATGTAATCCCAATTTCTTCCTCGCTTCAATTCATCAGTCATACACACATAATTTCATGGGAAGTCTCAGTTAATGTTTTGAGTATTGCAGATTTTCTCAGGTGGAAGTCCTCATTGTCTCCACGAGCAGATTTGATTGTGAGAAATGGGGTCATATATACGAGCGACGAGTCTCTCCTGTTTGCAGATTCCATGGCTGTGGGTAATGGAAGGGTTCTTCGGGTTGGGAACTATTCATTTGTCCAGGTTCCTGATACTTGACTTTCTTCTTTGTAGAAAAAGTAATTTTGTTCATACAGTCTTGTATTTTGTGCTCGTGCACTTCAACTGTTGCTGACCCCAGTTGTGTTGGGGGGGGGGGGGAACTGTGTAGGAGTTGGCAGATTATAGAACTAAAGAGCTGGATCTTCGGGGAAAGGTTGTAGTCCCTGGGTTTATTGATTCCCACGCGCATTTCATCAATGGTGGACTACAGGTTCGGTAGAAGCCCATAAGAATGCTCTCACTCCCAATTTCTTTGCATTCTGTGGTCTATTAAGTGTTTTTTCCTGAACTTATTGCCTGGCTTTTCGCTTTTGATAGAAATTTTTTAAGACCTTTTGTCATGGACTCTTCAACACAGCAAATCTTTTACTCTTCAATGCCATTAAAACTTCATTTGTTGATTTGAATCATGAATTTCTTATGGGGTATTTGCTAGAATTGCTTATCTCGTTTCGTAGTTGTTCAAATTCCATAAATTACAAAAGTTTCATTCTTTAGCATTCTTGTTTCTTAAAGATAGATGCATGCATGCATAGCCTCCTATGAATCAGAGGATGAGAATTGCGTTCCAAAACCAAGTTTGTTTTGGAGTTGTTGTAGACTAAGGCTTATGCCATCTAACTGATGGTTTTCTTCTGTTTGAATTCTATTGCTATTTCCATTAGCTATAATGTCACTTGTGTTTCTGAACCTATTCTTTGTTCCTTGTTTTAAAATTCTACCTGTTGGATACAGATGGCACAGGTGGAACTGAGAGGTGTGAACAAAAAGGAAGAATTTATTAAAAGGATCAAAGATGCCGTAAAAAGTACGTCTTAATTTTTATTTTTATTTTTTGGTATGCATGTTTCCTAATTTTAGGGAGTTAGTATAGATGAAATTACTTACATGAAGATGACCAAACTTGTTCATTTATTGTCGAAGTTTGAGCCCCAATACAAAATGGTTTGCAATATACGAAATTGGTTTGGAAGGATCTAAAGTAAAAATATCATATAAATTTACGATTAATGCAAGTAAACAAAGTTTAAAATGATGGTAATTTCACTGTTATATGGCATCCTTTATCCCTCTTTTCATTAATTCTTGGTCCATTAAATGTCGAACCTCATTTTGGTCTTTTAGTTTTAGTTAGAATTATATAAAGTTTGAAACCAGAAAGTTTTAGCTGCTTCTGTTTTTGTTGAACCCACTTACATAAGCCTTTGAAGGGTTGTCTTTTCCCTTTCAAGTAAAAATACAATATTTAGAGGCTTAAATCAAGATTTTAAGTCTACATGTATACATTCATCAAGTGGAATGTATTATATGGAGTGATATCATTAAAGGATTTGCTTCCAAATTAATTTACGTCTAATGAGATCATTCATTTCCTGCACAAATAAAGGCTCAAAACAAGGTTCCTGGATTTTGGGTGGTGGATGGAACAATGATCTATGGGGAGGAGATCTTCCCAGTGCCTCTTGGATTGATGATTTTACTCAAAACAATCCTGTGAGTCACATCTTCTGTTATGCTCCATCTTATTTGAATCTCACTGCATTGTAATACTATTCAAAATATACAATAGGTTTGGCTATCAAGAACGGATGGTCACATGGGATTGGCTAACTCAGTGACACTAAAGTTGGCTGGGGTTACGAAGTTTTCAAAAGATCCACAGGGAGGAACTATAATGAGAACTGCCAGTGGAGGTAATGATTTAATATCTTTGTAAATTTCTTTTAATCATTCTAGCAGATTATGTCATTATAAGACAATAGTAAAGTGTTATACGTTGATAGGGAAAGTGCAGAGCTTTCTGGAACTAATGAAACATGACTCTGGAATGTCCTGTCATCTTGTTTCTTTGTCCTGCTGAGAAATTAAGCATACTATGACCGCATGAATATCAAAAACCAGTAGCTTGGATAGCCAACTCTTAAGTTATTGCATTTTAATGTTGCTTTTGGGAGTATGTCGTGTGACTATCAAAGTAGGGTAATTAAAGCACGAGTCTTTTTACCATTTTAATCCACTTCATCTTTGCCACTCTCCTTCGCAGGTTTTCACTCTCCTGTTTGACAGTCTACTTTATGTATTCATTAAAGTTTTTACCACATATTTTAGTGTCATTATATAGTTCATTCATTAATTTATACCAATTTTAGGGCTGTAAATTTTATTTTAAGATTATTTGTCTCTGAATACCATGTTATTACTGATTATTGCATTGAATTGTTGTTACTTGTTACCTTGCAGAACCAACTGGGTTGCTAATCGATTCTGCAAAGAAACTTGTTGAATCCCAGGTTCCAGAGGATTCAGTTGATGACAGGAGAGAAGCATTGCTTAGAGTAAGCAACCTTGCATTGTCAAGGGGAGTGACAACAGTTGTTGACATGGGAAGATATCTTCCAGGGGGATCATCAAATCTTTCTTGGGAGGATTTTTCAGGTTTCAATTTTAATTTTTCAATTTTCACTAGTGTAATTATTTCCCATAAAGGAGAGATTGTTGAAAACTTCAAAGGAAATTACAAAAGAAAGAAAGAAAATGGATTTAACGTGCAGTTATGCTGTACTGAATGCTGAGCTGTGCTTCAAGATTCAGGCTTGCATAATTTCACTTTCACAATACCTTGAGCTGGTGAGAAAATATCGTTTTACCAGTGGAGAAAAGAAAAGAAAGATAAGGTGATGCTGTATCTAAAAGTCTTTCATCTGGGACGACCTTTATTAACTTTGTTGCTTATTTTGTTGTTTTGGGTAAATTTTTCAGATGTTTACCAATGGGCAGATTCCTTGTTGAAAATGAAAGTTCGAGTTTGTCTATTTTTTCCAATGGAGACATGGTCACGTTTAGGTGTATGATTCTATTCTGACTCGTACTTAAAGCATGTCTCAATCCTATCTAGTTCTCATCATCCTCCACCATATGCAGTGTAGATTGCAGAGAGAAATTTCAGCTGAAATTCCTTAGAATAATATAGATGTTACACAATGGCTGTTTTATCACATTCATGTTACATATCTTTTATGTGCATTGTTATCTCCTCATTTGATCCACCTCCTGCCAGAGTTTTTTCCTCCCTTTTGCATTAATGCAAGAATCAATGAATCCTTTACATTTTTCTTAATGCTTGGTACATTTATTTGGTTGTTGATAAATTTGTCTGCTATTTCTAGTTTACGTATAGTAAACCTCATCACTCATATTGTTACCTGAAGTCTCAATTTTCCTACATAGGATCTTATTAAAAAAGCAGGCTTTGCCCTGAGCCAATGGGTATACTTGGGTGGTGTCAAAGCATTTGCTGATGGGTCTTTGGGTTCCAGTAGTGCGTTATTATATGAGGTGAGAACTGAGCTTTCAAAATCTCACACACAGTTCCCGTTAACCAATAATATACATTTAAACATGTGCCTTCATTGATAGAAATTTAGCACCCGGCTCTCCGTAAATCATTTATATGTGATTCCTTACCGTGGTATTTCAAAGTTTGCAGCCATACATTGATGAGCCTGATAACTATGGCCTGCAAGTAACAGATGCTGAAGTCCTTCTCAACTTGACCTTGAATTCAGATCTGTCTGGTCTTCAGGTGCCTTTTTCTTCTATCACGACAAGTCTTATTATCAGCTCATATGAAAGCGTAGTTACTGGCTGGAAGCTTTGCTTTTAATTTGTTTTAGGTTGCAATTCATGCTATTGGGGACAGAGCAAATGACCTGATCTTGGACTTGTATAGTTTAGTAGCTTCTACAAATGGAATGAGAGATCGAAGATTCAGGGTATTATTTTCATAAACTATGAAAATAAAAAGATAATTTGCGGTTTACTCATTGCAAGTTGAGGATTTGGAAGTTTTAATATTCATTCTATATGTTTTAATATGGTTATTATGAAGCAACTGAAACTCTTCTTTCAGATTGAACACGCACAGCATTTGGCTTCTGGAACTCCCAGTCGATTTGGCAAACAAGGAGTTATTGCATCTGTGCAGGTTTTTTTTCTTTTTTCAGTAATAATTATCTTGTGGGCTTTTTGTTTATGTTTTTTTCTTAAAAGAAATTATGTTAGGACAAATTAATTTTGTAAGACCACTGGGATGGCTGTGGCTATCGACTAAAATCTGCAGCATACTTGCTCAATCCAGTAGCTCTGATTTGTTTCTTTCTTTCTGACTTCCTCTCTCTTCTAATATGCTATCCAATCGTACTGTTTCTTTGGAAATCAATTTGACTGCCTTACAAATATCTGGAGCGTCATGTCAAAAGTAAATTAGGATAGCAAATAGAAGTATATTTGAGAGGCCAAAAGTCAGCATTGTTTAGGTGACATAAAAAGAAGATAGACCTTGTTGAAATTAATTGTTTTAGCCAATGTCTACTTTCCAAATCTACCTTTAAACTTGGTCCATAAAGCTGCATTATGGCAGCTCTTGAGCAAAAACTGTGAAGAACTACGAGTCTCTATTTCAGGTTCTATAAAATCACTGTGATAATCAAGCTGCAATAAGCATGGCAAAGAATATGGTTCATCATGATAGAACAAAAATGTCAAAATTTACCAGCATTTCATCATTAAAAAAATAGAACAGTCATGAGTTCGTCTATGCACCTAACAGCTGATGTTCTGACCAAAGCTATTCGAAGAACCTAATTTGATGCTCACTTATTTAAGCTGGTGATGATTGTTATATACATTCCCCAGCTGAGGGGAGCATGGAACTAGTAAAAATTTTACTTATTTTTTATTGCTGTAAATAGATTGGAGTTACTCTCTATAACTCTTCCTGATCAATCTGCTATGAAAACAGATGCTTCATGAGATTGCTTATCAAGTATGGTCATTTCTTTCCATGAAAAAACAGATATTTGAAAATGCAGAATTCGGAACTCACAAAACTCTTCTTTTCATAACTCAGTGTACCCTGAAATTGTCATTGCTTTATTTCTTTTCATCCATTTGGCTTATTACTATCTTCGCCTTGAAGTGACGTAATATAAACCGTATGGATTCTGTCCTCTCCGTGGATGCATGTTAACAAGGTTTGTTTCATGTTAACAAATCAACAGCCAGATTTCATATTAAATGGTGCTGAATCTGCTGGCAAAAAGCTTGGCAAGGATAGGGCTGAAAAGGAATCATATTTATTTAAGTCACTCTTAGATGGCAATGCAATAGTGGCAATGGGCTCTGACTGGCCAGTAAGCATGTGGCGTCTGTTAACTTCTCATGGCCATGCACATATTCAGGTTTCTTATAGCACAGGATTTTTTCTAGGGCTTTGCAAACTATTGTCTATATTTTACAGGTGGCAGACATAAATCCCTTGAGTGGTATTAAAACAGCATTGACAAGAAGACCTCCGACTTGGGAAAAATCCTGGATTCCATCAGAGTGCATCCCATTAGAGGATGCAATAAAAGGGTAAGCAGCGTTTGAAACACTATAGTTCTGTACCTAAGGTTTTATTTGGCTTGTTGATGTATTAATTCTATTTCTTCTGATTTATATGAGCAGTAGTCCCCCCCCCGGGGGGCGGGGCCGGGGGGGCTTTATGATTAAATTGATTGCCATATACACCAAAAGATATGCATAGATTGCCATAGTTACGACTACTCCAATCAAGTGAGTTAACATATTCAGGCTTGTTTGATTAATTTCAACTTAGCAAGGTGGTGTTCTATGGCAGTAATTGTGGCATGATCTGGAATTGAATTCCTCGTGACTTGAGCAATGTGGAATTTTGACGAGCATGAACAGAAGCTTTTGTGACAATGATCCCCCCCCCCCCAAAAAAAAAAAATACTCGAGGCCTTTTCATTCCTTGCTCAACTATAAATTAACGGCATGTTAAAAGACAAGGTTCTACCTAGCATTATTTCCAATATGAATTTGGTAGGCTGATGCGTGATTTTTGGTTAGCGGGGCCCTCTTATCTTGGGCATTCTGTATTTTACATAGCTTCTTCTAGCATTATTTCCAATATGAATTTGGCGGTCATATTGTTGTACCTCTTTCTCCCCTATGTGCTGCAAACTTCTTATAGTGCCAGTGGCCTATAGGTTCTCAGTTGCCAGTGGCTTAGTGCTCTAGTGGCACCAAGCACCTCCCTTGACCAGAAAGGTTGCATGTGCAACCCTCTGTAGGTGTGGATGTGTGAGCAAGTTTCCTTTTTGATATTTATACTCGTCTATTGACGATTGGTTTGGTCTATACTTTTACATTTGTTAGAGCAATTCTATCGAAGAAAATTCTTTTTCATGCAATAGAAATACTTTAATGGATCGATGATTAGATTTAATGATCTGGTAACAGCTTGCTAAACTGACAATGATGCTCCTTCCCTTTATGGTTGAAACCAAACTACTTCTACCAAGACGCGATTGGAGAGTCTAACACAAAACTTGATAGGTACACAATCTCTGCTGCTCGTGCAAGTTTCCTCGAAAATTATGCGGGGTCCTTGTCTCCAGGAAAATTTGCAGATTTCGTCATATTATCCACTGATTCATGGGAAGAATTTGCTGAAGAAGCATCTGCATCTGTTGAAGCTACATATATTTCTGGTGCTCAGGCATATCCTTGAACACTGCGGTTTCTGTGTGAAATTCTGGTACCATGGTGTGGGCCTTTGCCTCTTCAAATCACGGTTGAGATTAAAAAATGAACTATGACTTGTTGGCATGTTAACCTTGAATATGAATTTGTCAAAAAGCATGCAAGCTGGGGATTGAAGTTGTTTTGAGCGAGGAGAAACTGGAGAGAGGCGTGATGTATTGTTGTGTATAAGTGCTATGACTCTTCCTGATAGGTCTCTCCCGCTTTTTTCTCCTTTTGGGTTTTGCACTTCCGATGAGGATTTGGTTCCTACTTCCTAGTTCCTTGTACTTGAATCTTTTAGTTCTTCAATCTAGTTATATTCTTCCGATCCTTAATATAGGACCTAATTGTTAAGTTAATTTTAATTCTAAATACAAGATTTATTTCTCATTTTTGTTAATTTTCTTAAATTATTCTTATAGATACTCTCTCAACTATAATCAAATAAGTAAGGGGAGAAGGATATTAAGAAAGATGATTATGGTGTTTTAAGAAAAATATATCATATTTCTTATAATTTAACTAACTTATCTAATTTTCTTGATCTAATCAAATTAGTTAAATATGTCTTATATTAAAGACCGGAAGAGTAACGTTTAATTGTTTATGCATGGCCCTTTGTGATTGTAAATCAATAATAAATATTGGGTCTTATGTGTAATTTTTGTTATATTACAACTTAAATGTCTTTTTACCCCCCCCCCTAAATTTTAATTTACCTCCTTACTCGTTTCAACCTTGAGTCTGGTTTCTTCATTTTCGAATTAATTAGCTTTATCCCTAATGGTCTGGTTTAATTTTTGCTAAGAAAATGTTTTAAAATTGAGAATGCAACCAAAAAAAGTAGCTTCATTTATTTGATGATTAGTTGTTCTTATAAGTAGGTGGTTTGTGCAAATTTGAATCAAATGCTTTCTTTTCTTCTTGACATTGATGATTAATTAAGAATTTAGTTTGACCATCCTAATTTTCAGTTTACTGGGAAGGTAGGATTTTTTTCAGTTTACTAACAACAATCATAAATGATAATGTTCCATTCAATTGTAAACGTAATAGTTAATTAAAAAAAAATTTTGTTGGCAAAAAAATTTAAAAATTTATTTTAAGCTTAAGTGTAAAGTTTTAATGGTTATCGTGCATCTAGTATTTTGAAATATTTTGTTAGTACTCTGAAGTATTTTGTGGTATGTTTAGTACTCTGAAACATTTTTTCAAGTGCATTAGGTACTTTAAATTATTATGATGCGTATAGTATTTTAAAGTATTTTTTTTAGATGCATCTAGTACCTTAAAAATACTTTATAGTACTTGATATATATTTATTTAACAAATCTTTTGAGGAGTTAATGCTGAAATTAAATTATACATGAATTAATACTTTAAAAGCACAATTGTTTTTAAAAAAATTGATATTTTAAGACAAAAGTTATGTCACAAAATATTGTAGGGCATTGGATAGATCTGAAAAATATTTTAGAATACTAGATGTACCACAAAATATCTTAAGATATTAGACACATATGACAAAATACTTCGGGGTGCTGAACGCATATTAACCCAGGTTTTAATATAGGTTGTGTTATAAATGTATAATTTTTTTTAATTATTTATGTTGATTATACACATGTTACATTCTAAGAAGATAGTTTCACCAGTTTCAATCCATGGGATAATTTATTACAAATTATCAGAGAAAAATACATATTTTATATATTGAAAAAAGAAAAAAGGGTACCGATACCCTATACTCTCACCAAGCAACGGGTCACATAACATGGATGGCCATGGGTCCCTCGTTGGGTCGAGTAAGGGTACATTTTCAAAATGAGAATTTCAGTTGGCTTAAAATTAAAAAATGAGTGAAAAGACAACTATGTGCCTGCATTATTTTTTTTTTTCAAAGAAAAGGACAATCACAAATAGAGTTTTGGCGATCGGCCGGTCGAAGCTTTGACCTCTGGCAGTAGACTACCTAAGTGTTAGGAGCCGGACCTCCACCCTCCAATGGCCACCAAAAGAATTATGACTACCAAGCCATCTGGTTTACTTAGTCATATAATGCAAAAAACAAAACAAAAAACAAGTGTTCAAATGTGAATGTTCAGATATTTATATTGAAAAAATGATTAAAAAATGATTCTTAAGTTTCAAAATCCTCATAAGTAAAATTTTAACTGAGGTATAAATGATCAAATTAGGATTTAAGAATTTGCAAATTTACTCAAAATTCAAACACAGCATAACACATTAGAGTTGAAAAAAATTTGAGTAAAGTAATTTTCGTTTGACAATTTTGAGAATGGATTATAGATGGATGAAATCTATGTGAAAGTTACGATTATAGGATATTTATCATGGAAAGGCAACAAAATATATGAGCGGCCCTCAGGAAACACGTACGTAACGCCAAAATAAAAATCTTTAAGTAAGAAACATCCGCCACCAATGTTTATGGAGGAATATGAGGATATTTTTGCTGTTACAACTGACAACAATGAATAAAAAAAAAAAAAGCAAAGACATAAATACCGATATTTTATGACATTAAAAAGAAAAAATCTGAAAATCTCATATGAGTTTTCTCTCCCATATTTCTCTCCCATCTTAGTATAAGAACTAGTTGATTAATTCAGGTAGAGTAAAAAAAATTAATTAAGTTAGTTATTGGTAATAAATATATGTTGTCTTTCCTAAAATACTCTTGCTAATCATGTAACATGTGCAACTACTACAAGAACTATTTTGAGAAAAAATGAATAAATATAAAAGACAAAATGGATTGTACTTTTATATTTAAAACTTACATCGATTAGAATGGGTATTTGACATGGAAAAGATGACTGGTGTAGAAAAAGGTGGTGATAAAAGCTCACACTTTTTACGTTATTTTTCTAACTGATGTAAAAAACTATGATTTCAACTACGATTATCGTACCAACTAGTGTAAACATTAAAAATTTAAATAAAAAAAAGTTCACTTCTTAGACTGATGGTTTAAGAAGTAGACAGTCTAAGAAGTGAACCCTTTTTTTAATTTTTTTTATACTAGCTAATTCTTTTGATGATTGAATTTTTTTTTCGTACAAACAAAATAAACTATGAAAACACAAAATAGTCTAACAGTTAAGAATTAACTGGTAGTATACTTTAGGAAAATATCTCACTAGAGAGGAAAAAAACAAAGGAAGATGAGCTATTAATAGTCGATGAGGAGAAAGAAAACAAAGGCCAACTCTTTTGTAAGGATGAACTAGATCTCTGACAAGTACTTGGTCATTTAAGGTACTCCAATTCAGATATCATACTTGAATGACAAATACTCGGCAGAGTTCTTCATCTTCTTTAATAGACCAAATATGGCAACAATATCTCAAGCCTTAGGCAGCTTATTGCAACCTTTAATGGACAAATTCAAAGTTGATCTCGAACAGAAATAGACTTGTATTAGGGTTTAGGCAAATGGGTCAATAAAAAAATAGAACAGCGATGATGATACCTATGGTGAGAAAAGAACAGCAGAGGCAATGGACGGCGACAATAAAGGCAAGTGACAGAAGAGGAATTGAGCACTCAATGCCATTTCCATCTTTTCTTTTTGAGAGCATGCCTCTTCATAAGTGAATTGAAGACAAGAGGGCATTATTTATAGCTACGGCAAAATGTTAACACTGGTTGACATTAAATCCAGTGTTGAAAACTCATTTTACATCAAACACAAGATGACCAATGTAAAGCCAAAGAAGATGATATTTTTACTAGTTTTAGGGTTCATTGTCAGAGATTGGAGGATAGAAAAATGTATTAAAATAAAGAAACAATACAAGATCATCACAAAATATCATTATATATTTATATTGGTGGGGATGCCGCTTTTACAAAATATTTTTTTAAAAAAAGAACTATATTTTACAATAATAAAATAAACTAATAGCTAAAAGAGGAGGAGACTTCTTCACCGAATAACAAAGAGGAGGCAGTAGAAAGGTCATTTATGTCATCATACTCGATATACTTGTCATTGAGTAGGAGGTTAACCTTATTGTTGAAGGCGTAGAAATGAGCCACTATATGGTGGAGGTCGAGATCAATCGTCGCTACTCTTTGAAGTAGCTGGTCAAGAAGAGGCAAAGGAGAGAGAGGCAAGGAAGGAGGAGAGGGTAATAAGGAAGGTGGCGGAGGGTAATGGGAGGGGAGGAGGGAAAGATGAAGTATGGATTGGAATAGTTTTTTTGTCGTTTCACCATTATAAGGCTGCCGACATGGACAAAAAAGATGGAGAACAAGAAGGACAGTTGGCTTCTCAGCTTAAATAATAGTGATAGGATATGATTGGTGACCATTCGAGTTCAGATTATTTCGGGAAAACGACATGGCAATAGATAAGCTGATGTAAAGATTAAAAATACCAGTTGTCTACAATTACTGATGTTATTTAATTGGGATTACAAGGTTGGGTTAACATTTGATGTAAAAAGTAATAATGACACTGTGTGTGGAAATAACTAGTTTAAATATTATATCGTTATTTACAAAAATGTCACAACCTCATTTATTACACTATTAGCATAATAACCGGCGTAGATTAGGGGGTGTAAAATAGCGTTTTTCTTGTAGTGCAAAATTGAATGTCAAATTAGCTCTTATATTAATGAATGAAGGTAGTAATTTATTGCTATGGTTAAATTGCTTATTTATAATTTGATGCCATTATTAACTTATTTTACAAAATAAAAATAAAGAATGAAGAATTAAATTATATAAACATCTCTTATAAATTGAACAATGTGCAAATTATCTCTTAATTAATCGTCAAAACTTGAAAATATAAATTTCTTTTATTAATTATTTTTATTCTTCCTAGTAAAACATTATATGTAATTTCCTTATATAAATAAATTTTAGGTCATATGTAAATAAATATAACACATTTTTATTTTTTGGTAAAGTAATATATTTTTATAATTATTTACGCATGACTTAATTATACAGAAATCAACTATATAAAATTAGAATCTAAAGATATTCAAATTGAAAATTTATAATCAAACGGAACTTCAGGCAAAAAAAAAAAGGAAGAAAATAATTAAACGGAACTCAAAAGATAGTTGGCCATAAAAACCAAATTTATAAGATGAAAACATCTTTTTGTTTTGGTTTTAGTAAAAAGAGAAGAAAAGGATAAAACATTTTTTATTTTATTTAATTAAAAGACAAAAAATTAAATTGCCTCGTCAATTATAGGTTTGAATTCTCTAATCATTGCCACACTTTGCTGGTCCAAAAACAATGGAATGATATTTTTATGCGTTTTAACTCTCTTCATTATATTATAAAGGTTTTTTTTTATGGGGAAGCAGTTTTCAATGCAAGAAAAAGTTAAGAAAAATAAGGAGAAAACTTAGGTCAAGTTACTTAGGTCCATTAGGTCCAGTTAGCCAATGAAAAATTGCCACCTCAATTATTTTTCCACATCAGCCCTTAACCCCGTAAGCTGCCGTTAGTCGACTAAAATTTCTGGAAAAAAAAAATTTAAGAAAAAAATGGGAGGAGTTGCGATGAGAGCAAGGACTAAAGAAAGCAAAGTCGGAGTTCCCAACAATGGCAACGGCAATTTTAAAAGTTCCGATGGCCTGGCTCTGTCAAAGTAAGATCAATATCCAGTGTATGGAGGAATAAAAAAATGGAATGGGGACATCAAGATGCTCATGGCGGCGGAGGAAGACATCCTACTGTGTCGAAGGAAGAGATTATCGAAAAACCAAAAGAAAGTTGCTTTACAGATTCTTCTCTCAATAACCCTCTTCCTTTATCCTCTAAAGCATCGTTGTTGGGGAATGAAGCTATGGAAGCAAAAACAAATTATGATTACGCGGCAAAATGGTTATTGGAGGAGAAAAATTGGATTCGAAATATACAAAAGAACAGCAGGAAATTATTACCTTTAATAGGTTTATTGATAATAATGGAGTTTTGTCAGGCCTAGTTGAATTCATTAAGAAACTCAGGCAAGTTTCAATTTCCCAAGGATCTGAATGAGGTTTCTTCAAAGTTGTCATTGTCTTCATGGGGAACTCTTACGCCCCTCCGATTTGGCTCTCTCTTCGTTTTTCTTTTTTTACTTGTTTTTCCCTAAAGTTTTAGTGGCAAACTACGGTTTAAGGGGTTAAGGGCTGATTTGGGAAAAATAATCCAGGTTGCAGTACCTAATTGGTTAACTGGACTTAATGGACCTAAGGCACTTGACATAAGTTTTGTCCGAAAAATAACGCACATTTTTTATAAATAATTAGGTAAGTTGTTTTTTAATTTCTTCTAATTAATTATTATATTTGGTTTTTAATATAAAAATTAGTTAACTAATTAAAAAAATTAGTTAAATTGATTATTTATTACAAATATGTACTGTTCTTCTTAAAATATTATCTTCATTTATATGCATTAGATTATTAGAATTATTTATTGGTAGGAATCTTTAACAATCAATAAGAATCTTTTGAGAAAATATGAAAAAAAAAATGAATTGAGATTTATATTTAAGATTAAATTTAAGTTTTAATTAAATATTATATTAAAGATGGGGTGTAATATTTAGTCCTAATGATAATTAATTAGCGTTATCGAAAGATTTTATTTTGACGTTGACAGAGGATTAGTGATGATAAGATATCTGTTGTTCAGTTATTTGTCTGTCATCGTCCCAGTTTATTGAGGCTTCCGGCCGGAGGGTGAGCGATGAATTCTTTGGCTCCATTCCCTTCTTCCAAATTCCACTTTTTCTCTTTTCGATTTCCACTTACTTCTTCTTCTTCGTCTGCTCGAGTTGTCTGTCATGGTGGCTCCGATTTACAGTATGCTCCCTGCGACCTCAAGCTCGTCTTGCACGATACTCTTGATTCCTCTGGAATCGACACTACTCATGCCAGAGTAATTCTCATTTCTTCCTTCAATTTTCTCATTTTTGTTTACCCAGTTTTGTGTTTTCGATTCCTCCCTACGGAAGTTGATTTGATAATTTATTCTGATTTCGAGATGTAGATTCATGTGAAAATTGGAACCTCTATTTCTTTGATTTCAGCTGAATTTCAAGCATTGAACTTTTCTGTTAGTATTTTTTTAATTTGCTTAGTGTTTTTTTTTTTTTTTAAATTCTTCTTGTGCATTAATGTGATAATTTAACGCAATTCATGTGATTTTGATTCATTTGACGTATAATTGATTTGTCATGTTGATTTCAAGCATACCTCGCCTTTTTTTGATGGAAAAAGCATATTTTACCTTACTTATTCTAAATATCGGAATTTGGCTTTTGAATTTCAAGTATTAAGAAGGTATTGATTTGATGCATCAATGGTGAATGAGCAGGAAGCCAGGAAGGAATTCTGCTTACAGATTCAGAAATTCTGTGTTGTCGAGAGGGAAACCAGTATCAGCATCAACAGATGCGTTGACCTGGGAAGAACTGCTTTATGTATAGGTGCCGAGGATGATTCTCTTGTATCACATTCGTCTGTTCCACTCCCGGTCGATGCTTTCATAGAAAGATTGGATGATCTTTCAATGGACTACTGTCCTCACTACAGCCCATCATTTGACTCATCCCCAGAGAATTTTTTAGAGAGTTTAGAAAGATATCTGTATGGTCACAAGGTATATTCATGGATTTTAATGATACAGGCCAAGTGTAGCATTGAATGGACTACTAAGGATTCTGTAGATGGAAATAGCAAATTATCTTGAATCAATAAAGAGACCTACACGCCTTAGACTGATTATCCAAACTTATAATATTTCTCCAATGCATTGTTTGATTCATCTCAGGCTCAGCATTACATTAACAGATAAAGATTGATTATTTGACAACTGTATATTTAGCTGCTTGTGACATGCACTGTCTGCTCAAAACTCCTTTAAGATATGTACTCCATAATTACAGAAAATGATGTAAGAAACTATGCCTAAGTCTAGTCCCAGCCACAAAATCTACTTAAGCACAATAGTTCAATAGTAATGAATACTGCTCTTACATGTTCTGCTTTTTTCTGAGCTGAAGAATTTGATTTTTGGCCATTTTATGATTCTTAAATTGATTGATCGCATAGTGCTTCATCAAAATTTGGGGACAATTTCTGCCTCTAATCATAATGGCCTTTTCTCTAACACCTCCTTATTCTTCACAGGGTTTTCGAAGAACCAGTTCAAGTCAGATGGAGTCACAAGCCCTATATCTTCACTCTGTATAATTTATATATTGCTGATATCTTTTGGTAATTCTTTAAGGGAAGGGAAAATCACAAAAAAAGACTGCTGAAATTGAAAAATTACACACAAGGACCAATTCAAAAAAATTGTTGTCAAAACATATACTATTGTTGTCAAAACCTATAATAATATTGTAACGGGCACCTATTTGCAATTTTTCTATTTTGGCGGTTTTTTTTTTTTTTTTTGCAATTTTCCCTTAAGGGAAGCCTATTATGAATAAATTATTTAGTATATTTACAGTAATATGTTGAGCAGGTTTTGACACATCGTTCAGGATCAGCTGCAATGCTTGCACTTATATACTCAGAAATTCTGAAAATGCTTCGTCTATGGGGTCTTGTGAACTTTGATGCTGAAATTTTCTTTCCTCGCGATGATCATGGCCTTCCCAGAGGTTACAATAAACAAAAAAGCAAGGAATCAGACCAAGCGCACATAATGACTTCAGAAAACTTGTTATATGAGGTGATTTGTGATTGCTGCTACGTTGTTCCTTTAACTTTCTTTGTTCTATATATCCAATGCTTTGCCATGTTGTCTTCTACAATTTTATGGCAATGGATTTTCTGTTTGCTAATTTGTTAACACCCAAACAACTGTAGCCACTTGCTTTCTGTCTTTGCCGGAATAGATTCAATTTATTTCCTTCAAAAATATGTTTATAAGCTTGCTTTTGGTAGTGGTATAATATATACTACTTGGTATTTTGTGGACTTTGAAGCTTCTTTCTTGTTTATTGTTCGATTGGGTGTTTGGATATTTCTTCAAACCATGGTTTTGAGAGAAAATTATCCAAACAGCACATTTTTTCTCAAAATCAATTTTAAATTTGAAACCATGGTTTGAATAAAAGTAACCAAACACCTTAATTTTTTTGCCAAAATCACTTTTGATTTGAAAACCATGGTTTTGGGTATAAAACCATGGTTTTTCATGAAGTAAATTTTTTTTGCTTTTGAAAGTATAAAATCATGATTTGGGATATAAAAATATATACATGTATCAATTATTACCTTTAATCCTTAATATAAGAGCTAAACAACTAATTTGTCAACTTTAAGAAAATTAGTTAAATTATTTATTTATAATAAATAGGTGTTGCATTCTCTCAAATACTTGTTAATGATGTGCATTGAGACTACTATTTGACAGAACATTTAACGTGTGCAAATTAATAGGAGGACTACTTTGAGAAAAAAATAAATAAATGTGTGAGACAAGGTAAATTGCTATCTTATATTCAAAATCAATATGAATATTCAATTAGGTCTCATACTAAGAATCGGAGGTAATATTAATTAATTTTTTTTTCATATATCATTTATTATTTACAAATTTATTATTTCTAACAAAAATATAAATTAAAATACATTTTTATCTAATTATTATATTAACTTATGTCATTTTTAGTAATTTGTACATGAAAAAAAGAGATTCTAATAACAACCATCTAAACATTCTCATTTTATCAAAATCACTTTTTTTAAAATCTATTCTCAAAATTCGTTCTTCTAAAATCTATTCTCCAAAAGTTATTTTCTAAACCATAGTTTGGTTCAATGTAACATCTTTAATAAGAAAGCATGCGACTAACAGAAGCTGCAGTGACATATATTCCAAGCTATATATAAATATATATATATATATATATATATATCAGTTCATCATCAATGCAGCATTTAAAATGTAAAATTACTTTTACTTCAGATTTGGGGAAAACAAAGCCAATGTAGCTATTGTACTGACAATAATGTTGATTGACTCAAATCTTAAAAACCTGTTATTTATTTGCAATTTAGTGACAGGTTATTTCTTGTAGTATCTTGTTGTGTCTGCTTCAAAATCTTTGTTGAACTAGGTTATTTACTTAGCTGCATTAGTCTACCTTTTAGGAACTCATGTTAGCCTCTGTGTAGATCCTGAATAATCTCAAGCATGCATTCTGGCCTTTTCAACATGATCGAACCAAAAGCTTATTCTTAAGGGCAGCACATGCTGCTAATTGTGTTGACAGATCAGATTTTATTGGAGAAAGGTATTTTATATAATAATTATCTGACTTGTTATTTGTTCTAATTGTACTACTTAATATGTGAACTTATTCTAAAGTTGGTCAACTGCAGTGGCTCTCAACTAGCCTCTGCTAAGGCTGCTCAACATAGGCTAGACCGAGGTGTTTGGACCAGCGTACGTTTAGGGGACATGAGACGTTCACTGGCCGGTATGAATATGTTTTGCCTTCTCCTTCCGTTATCATCTCCAAATATTCTGGCACCTGGAGAATGAGCAGAGGTTCTCCATATAAATCAAACTCCTCCGCCCTCCCTCCCAATTTACCCAAAAAAAAGGAAAAAAAAAAAAAAGGAAACCCAAAAACCAATCCTGAAGGAAAGGCCACCCCTGTTTCTACTGATAAGATGTGTTGGTGGCACCCAAATTTGATGTGTTAAGCATGCGTTTAATGAGGAAAGTTGCAAGAGTAGGGGAAAAAATGTTTGTGATTGTTGATTACTTAGGCTTATGATGTAACTAGAAACCAAACTGTCTCTTCAAGGTGCTAGTTTGAAGGAGCAGGAAGTCGGATATAACCCCATGTTTCCTCCCTTTTTCACTCTGTTTTTCAGCAGAACTGATCCTGGTGAGGGGTCGAGACTGGGGTCTAGAGCAAAAGAAAAAGGATTCTGTCAATTTAGATAACTAAGGTTAAATACTACATTACACAGTTCTGGAAGAGTTGTAGACTTAAGCACTCAATAAATGCATATTGTTGCATGTGTGTCTTGTTCGTTGCTGATCTTGAATAATGGTACTTGAAACTACCTGCGATGTACCAACTGTAATATCTTAACATGCGATATACCTTTAATATTTGCCTGTAGAAGTTTACCATCAGCTATCCAAGAGAGCATATTGGCTTACATGTCAATTTTTCCCTGCCTTTTCAGCTTGCGAACGTATAATCCTTCTGAAATCTGATGCAAATGAGTTAAGAGACTATGGATCTCTTCTCTATCATTGTGGACTTTATGAACAGGCCCTGGAATATATGAAACATTACAAGGATATGAAGGTACTATCTCAAACCTACTTGATGCACGCGCACAAAATGACAGCTTTTCCAGGCAACCCAAATGAAATGAGTTCCGTTTTATTTTTTTTTGTAGAGCTCATCCATGCAGACACAGTCGTCAAGCTCTGCGAGCAGCATAGAAGAAGAAGCGGTGGATAAGCTGATTATGCGCTTAGATCTTATCTTGATGGAAGAAGGATGGAGTCGTCCATCTTATGTCAGAAACTATTTCAATAACAACTCTGAACCATGGTAATCTGCCTTCCATTTTTAACTGAGGCAAATCAGAAAAGGCAATGTGAAATTTCACACGCAGTAGAGGAACGTGCACAGTACAAGGCAGCAAGTATCAATGAATTTTACAGTAATGAAGGTTGGATTCCTGGCAATGATGAAGATATTGTATCTATAGGTCATAAATGCCCACCAAATGAAATGGTGGTAGCAACTGGTAACTGGCAATTGCAGAGAAATCATATTAGAAGATATTACACGGTGGCTGACTGCAGGTGTCAACCATATTTTTGTGGGGAGAAAATAACTTAGCTGTGTGTATAAATAATAACTTTTAATGCTGACATTTTCCGTCCGGAAGATGCATGTGAATAGAGAGTTAATGTGTCTCTGAAGCGTATTGAATTTGTAGAATTCTAATAAGAAGAACCTGTATGTACCTGCCTATGCAATATGCTTGTGGTTTTCTCATCGAGTCACAAGCAAAGGGTATATTATAATAACTTGATATGTTGTAAGTGATCTGTGTCATTGAATACGCTCCATAAGAAATATAGTAGAAAAATTTTCAAGAACGTCATGATGTGAAAAGACTTGGATTTACACAATCATCATGTTGACCGTGTGGTGAAGAGAAGGAAAATTGGGCTGATGTGAAATACACGAAACAAGGATGGTGGAAATGCTCCTTCCAAGAGACTAAGGGTGTGTTTGGATGAAACCAAACCGTGGTTTGGAAAAGTGATTCTGGAGAATAGATTCTGTGGAAAATAGATTTTGTGGAGAATAGATTCTGAGAAAAAGTGATTCTAAGAAGTGAGAGTGTTTGGATAGTTATTACCAGAAGCACTTTTTACATGTCAAAATTACCAAAAAGGGTATAAGTTAATATGATAATTATATAAGAAATAGATTTTATGATATATTTTGATTTGAAGAAATAAAATTGTTAATGAAAATTTTTTTACTAACATAATTAATAATATATAAGATAATATAATTAATACATAATTAAAATGTGTATATATATTTATAAAACATAATATTAAATATGTTTATAGAAAAATGAATTTTTTTTGGCTAACAGAAAAATATTAATTTTCTTTAAAGATTTTAAACGTGAAATACATATATTTTTAGAGTAATTAATTAATTAATTGTCACCATATATATATATTCATAAAATATAAGGGCAAAACTATTTTTATGATAATGCATTGTCACCACATATATATATATATATATATATATATATATATTAATAAAAGAAGGACGCATTTTGGGGCATCTGGGAGTTAGCTGTACGGCGGATATCCTCTGGAAAGAATCTAACGGTTCCTATTGCATGTGCCAAAGCCCTTGTAAGCAGGTGATTAGGAGCAAGGGCTTGCAGCATTTCAGACTTTCCGAAGCAAAAAACACAGAACAAACGCGAAGCAGAGAGACCCCCAGAGAAGAGAACTGCACTCACACCTAGAAGGCTACAAGTGGCCTCTCTACTTCCAACGGTAATTTCTTATACATGAAGTTTTCTCTGGTCCCAGTTTTCCTATTTCCGTTATGATTTCAGCGTTTCGCATCTTCATCGTTGAGGGGTTCTTTTAGTGCTTGATTCGGCATTTCCTCGTTAATTGGGGGCTCTCTCTCTCTCTCTCTCTCTCTCTCTCTCTTTTCCGTGGTTCTCATGGATGTGTGATTTTGAAACTATTTACAGCTTTTTGGAGCCAAACAAGATCAAGAATCTGAGAGGGGTCAAAGCCAGGGACTTCCTGGTTTGGTTCACCTTGATTGAGATTTATGTCAGAGACCCTCCTCCTCCACAAGGTTCTGTTATTACCTTCAAGTCTCTGGTTGGCTTGTCCATGTCTTTCCCTCTGTCTCTCTTCAAATCAGACAGGGAAGAAGAAGAAGCAAATCTACCCAGAAGCAAATCAATTTTGGACCGACTGGAATGGAACTCTGAAGATAGACCGACTGGAATGGAAGAAATAATTGAAGCCAGAGGAGATAATTGAAGCCGGGGTAATTTTGGTCATGCAAGGAGGGCCCACCATCAGCCTTCAGCAATGAGCCAGAAGTGGTTTGGGGGTTCAAAACCATGGTTTCCCCCAAACCATGGTTTTAAATTTTTCAGAGACTGTTTGGCTAGTATTTTTCCCAAACCATGGTTTGGATCCCCAAACCATGGTTTGGGGTGCTTGCCAAACAGGGCCTAAAAAGGGGATTGATGAATAGGGCGTAAAGAATCAAATTCCAGATTAGATTGGAGCGATGAATGGTGCGCCAAGGCAAAATGAGAGGATGGAATGAAAACCGGATCGGATGGATTGGAACAAAAATCGATCACCCAACCACTCCGGGCAACGGGAAAAAGTTAATGAGGGGCGACCTGGTGTAACCAGCCTGTTTTGGGGGTCAGGCCCCCTTTTTTTAGTTGTTCAAGTTGTTTAGTGCAAAAACTGATGTCATTTGTTTTTTTTCCCCTCTTTTTTAAGCTATTGATAATTATTAGTTTAGTGACTAAAGGATTGTAGGTAGAAATATTTTGTTGCCATTTATCTATTTTGATATTTGGCTAGAATGAATATTTAATGATTATGGTGGTATGATATAAAAAGTATTTTATATTAAATTGTTGCAAATTACATTTTTGAGTTGGAATTCAACGCTTGCTTAAATAAATAAAACTAACGTAAATTATAATAACATGATATTAAATATTTTTTTGTAGTTAAAATATTTTAAGATCCTAAAATAAATATTTACAAACATAAAATAAAAAAATCTTTATTTTAAGACTATTTTTGAAGCTTTTAGTTATATATACAAATTTTAAATACTATAAAAAAATTTTATGTGTTTTTTGGTCTTAAAAATAATAATAAAAGGTGAGAGATCAATTGATAGAATTAAATAATCAGTTTTTCATTTTAATTAAAAAGAGGCATTTTAGTTATTTAACAATATTTAGGAATCCTAAATTAGAACTCATGCCCTAATTAAAAATTTATTAAAAGTATAGGTCTTAATTTAAATATAGTTATTTTAGTCGGATTTTATTGGGATTTGGCCAAATATAAAACATATAATAATTAAAATATATATACAGCTAACGTATTTTTTATAATAAAATACACAAACTACTACCTCCAGTCTGTAATATAAAAACTTATTTGAATTTTATTTTGGTTCTAAATATAAAATTTTAATCTACTTTGACTTTCATATTTATATATTTTTTTCTAAAGAAGTCCTTATAGTAATAGTAGTTATAATCAATATACTTGATTAATAGTATATTTTAAGAAAAAAGATACTTATTTATTATAAATAACTAAATTAACTAGTTTTTTTAATCTATTCAAATTAGTGAACTAGTTTTTATAATAAGGGACCGGGGTAGTATTCAAGTTTGAGTAATATTACATGTTTTCGATAAATTAAAAATATATTTTCTGTTACTAACGAACTAGTTCTTTTTTTCAATTTAATAAAATGACCAAGGCCCAGCAAATTTCTTCCAGCCTTTATGAACCGACAGATCACTAGGCTGCAAAGAAGTACAACGGGCTCAGTAAAATGGATTTGGTGGTCCAGGCTGGGAACATATGTGGTTTTGTTTTTGTTTTTTTTGGGTACGAGGGAACATATGTTGAGTTTAGGCATATACTCTTAGAGACTTTTTGAACCAAAAATTATTGGGTGGGACCGAGGACGCTGTTCCATGGACATGTAGGTGGGCTTCTGCTGGTCTTCATAAAATTGACTGTTACACTGGATCACTGCCCTCACAATCAAAGATGGGCCGTGGGCCTTTTGTGGCTCAACTGTTTTATCCTTTTGGGGGCCTTTTTCTTTTTTTCATTTTGCAAGATATAGATATCTTATGTTGAAGGCAATTCTTTTTGAAATAATATTATGCGCTAAATGTGAGCATCTCTCTTAATAGAAATTTAAATCCTAATTTACCATACTGTGAGGAACTAGCACTTTCTTTTAAACCTAACTCTGCGATGTGTCATAGGCTTTTTTGCGCCTGAACTATTGGTAGTTTGGTTATTTTGAGCTCAAAGTTCTTTTTGAGGCTATTGGATCCAATGCTTTGTGAAATTTTTTAGAAGTTGACATCGATAATAATTTTAAGGCAAGGACATTATTTTTAAAACTTTTGGGGGGGAGGGGGAGTATGTGGAAACCAGCTTGTTCATCATGCCCATTGTTTCATTTCTACCAAAATCACTTTGAGCCAAGCCAAACTGGAAAATAGATAATAAAAGAAAAGGATACCGAGTCCATATTTTATTTTTCAAAAGTATTTTTTATTTTCTATTTTTTGACAAGGTCTTGTGACAATTAATAATTAGGTAAATCTCAGCTAATAGGAGAAATATTTAAATATTCTTAGAGTGACACATTATTTATGCTCTTTTCAATGAAAATGTTCTAAGTGTTCTCTCTTATGATCTCACATCTCACAAATTTCTCTTCATTATTCTTCTCTCTTCACAACCCATTATAATAGAAATTTTTGGGATCCATAAGACAAGTACTTGGAGCATTTTTATTGGAAAGGGCACGAATGGTATTTCTCAAAGCTATAAAGATTGAAGGGTTAATTTTTCCATATAAGAATTTTGCATTCTTATTACTTGGAAGAGTGTAAGGAAGAAGTAGAGGCTCACTCATCATTTTACTTTCTTTTTTTTTTTTGGAATACAGCGGAAGTAAAACAAGGAAGACAACAAAAGGGACTTAGGAGGTTCCCCCTTCCCTCTACTTGGAATGCAAATCCTTCACCTTTGTATAAAAGAAAGAAATAGGATAAAAAGATAGATTGAATATCTAAATATATACAATTAAATACACGCGTATATACAAACATGTCAACAATGAATTCGAAGTTTGAACCTTACCTAAACATGATAACATGATAAGTAATGTTATCACTATGACAATTATTAGTCATTGAAATATTGCATTTGTATATATGAATTTTTTTTTTTACCTTAAACCTCATTAACTCTTATTTAAAATTTTATAATTTTTTAATTTTATCCCTATTTAATATACATTATACTTATGAAAACATAATCAAGACAATAATAAATAAGAGATAAAATTGTACATTTATGTATAAAAAATTTCTCTTTTCCTTATAAATAAAACTAAATTTTTTTTCTCCCTATACTATAAATAGCGCTAAAAGAGTAATTTACATGGAGCTTTGAAATTCTTAAAATTCGGTTTCGGCGCAAGAATGATTATAGCCCATATCAAATAAATGATTGCAACGCACGTCTCAAAAAATATAAGAATTTAATAATTATATATTTTTTCCAAGCGCGTCAATCACGCTGCCAAGAATTAAAAATAATATTCATAATAATAAAAATAAAAATAATAATGTCAATATATTAAAAAATGAATTAAAAAAGGGGTGAATCACTGGCGTGGAAACATGAAATATCACCTTCCCCTACGTAATGCCACAAAATATTAACAAAAAATAAAATAAAAG